TCCTCCTAGCTATTCCACCTATCCTTATCTAACTACCCGTTTCTTATATACTTACCTTTTCCAGATCATCCATGTACGCTTCCCTTATACCTACCTGTAATCTATCATCATAATACCTACCTTACTATACTTACCTTTCCTAATTCCCCCAGTCCCGGTCCCCATACTTACCTTGTTTCCCCCCTTACCTTGTCGTTGTCCGGTGAGAATGATGATGAGTGAATGTTTGAATGTGGCTGGCGCCCGCGTCTGCAGTGTTGGGAGTGCCGGAGAGGCTCATCAGCCGTTTCACTGATGATCCTCAAAGGCTGATGTGTGTCCTCACTGCCGAGACACTGTAGGCGCGGTGACGTCTGGAAATACCCCCCTCGGGCCCTGGCCAGGGAATGGACACTGAGCTGGGGTGTCGGAGCCCCAGCCGCCCCGGGCGAGCGCTCCCCCGTCAGTATCGGGGGGAGTTAAGAGCTAGTGTAGGATCGGCGGAGTTCCGCCGAATGGTTGAAGTTTCCCATGGGTGTACCCTCCTACACGCTGCCCGCTCCTTTGTCCACAGGCGGTATCTGAAACTAAATTATGTCAACAACAAAGAAACAAACAAAAAACGCTACAAGATCAACGAACAATAAAAATATGAATCCTCTGAGCTTAACTCCATTTTTATCCACCTCTCCAAGTAATAAATCGCCTCGTAACACTGGCACCATACCCTCCGACGACAATGAAGCAGTCCACGCTTCCAAAAACAAGAACGATACTACTCTATCCTGTGCAGCAGAAACCTACAAGGAAATCCACACCCCTACACATAACCTAAAACGCACCCCTCCTTCTATACAACCTACCGATTTCCCACCTCTCCTTCCTCCTGAAATCCCCTCCTCATTCCCTGCTACGCTGGGTGCTATTAAACGAAAAAGACAATCTATTAACAGAGATAAAGACGCCTCTGCTACTCAAAACGTCTCAAGCATTTCAAACAACAGCAGTAGAGGTAAAAGAAAATCTTACAAAAAGTCAAATGATGAATCGGACAGTTCGACTGACTTCTCATTAAACGATGATAACGATTTAATCGAGGTTGACCCACACTCGGAAAAACCTATCTCGAAGATTATAATATCACTTGTCGAGTTTGCCAATGAAATCAACTATGTGAGACGTAACTCGAGTAACCTACAAGGTAAATTCAACGGTAGACTCAAGACAGTCGAACAGTCCTTACTGTGCATCTCCCAAGACCTGGAGGCTAAATACGCTAATTCTGAAAACAACGAAAAATTAATAGACGAAAACATTACACTGATTAAAAATAACCAAACACTCACGGATAAAGTTAAGCGTTTAGAAGCCCAGATCCACGAATATAAAGCTGCAAAAAATGCTCCGCAGTCTCCTATACAAATCCGCAGTGACAACACCTCCTCTCCCATCAATAAAACCTTCCTAGACTCTTTGCTACAATCAATCAACAAAAATATAGACTCAAAAATCAATGATCTGAAATCAGAAATGATTTCATTAATCAATAGCAATAATAATAAATCTCAACCTACTCTACAGCATCAGCAATTCGCCACTGCTGTACATAATACTCCCAGTACCTTTAATTTGGACAATCATCGAACACAAAATACATTCTCACCTCAAAATCCATCTGAAACATGGTCAAAAGTCGCAAAACGTAAAAATAAAAAAACAGTAACTGCTATACCTAGTGAAATGAATAGCAATCCGATACCTTCTACTGCTCCCATGCCTCCCCCCTCTTTTTCGAATATAGCTACTACCTCCATGAGAAGACCAAAGAATGTAGAAGTGATTTATATCGCTGAAAATAAAAAAAGTAATATTAAACTTAATCAAATACTTACCAAAGCTAAAGAAAACATTAAGCTGAACGAATTTGGAATCGATGCAATTAAACCTCGCTCCTCTCTAAACGGCGGCCTTATACTCGAAATACCTAAGATCAAAGATAAAGAAATAGCACCTGTTTTAATGAAAAAAATCAAATCCCTTTTTCCTCCTGACGAAGTCACAATAACATGTCCGAAAAAATATAAAGAAATCCTACTTACCAGTGTTGATGTCTCCGCCACCCACTTAGAGATCACTGAAGCTCTCCGCACTGTCTGTGGAGAAAATGAGCATTTCATTCTGGGCCCGGTGCGTCCGAACCTGAGAGGCTCGGCCACCGTATGGTGTAAGTGCGAAGAATCCGCTGCTTATAAATTACTCTCTACCAGACTACTCACAATTGGTTGGTCACAAGCAAGACTTCTCCCTCTCGATAGTAGACCTGTGCAGTGCTACAAATGCTGGACATATGGGCACGTACGAGGTTCATGTACATCTAACATTGATAGAATAGGATGGTGTTTTAAATGCGGTTATGAAGGACACCCTGCTAACACCTGCAACAATGATAAACCAATTTGTAGACTATGCCAAGACAACAAATTCGATAGCAACCATAAAATGGGTACAAACAACTGTCGTACCTTCCTAAACTACAAAAAAGACAAATTAAAACCTACTCTTAACAATAACCCTAACAGCAATTCAGAAGACAGGCCGGAGGTCCCTGAAAATAATAGAAAAGAATCAATATGACGAACAGACAAACAGACAAACATCTAGCTAATAAGCAATCATACGTACCATCCTACTTAGCTTCAAACCCTCTCCTCAATGACACCAGCTCTTCTATAACGACGATGTCCATTTTACAAATCAACCTTAACCATGCTATAGCTGCCCAAGCCTTATTAGAAAGATATATAGTTAATAATAAAGTTTGTATTGCACTTATCTCAGAACCGTACAATTCTAATAAATGTGGCTGGTTCGGTGATACTTACAATAAGGCTGCAATTATTGTGAATAATCCTCGCATCTATTATCCCAACTTAATAGATAAAGGAGACAACTACATAGCAGTTGAAGTTCATTCTATCATCTTCATTTCAATATACTGTCCACCTAACGAAAATAGAAATAAATATGAAAAGAGACTACATTTAATTACCACAATAATCACCAAATACAATCACCTGATGCTGATAATCGGCGGCGACTTTAACGCACATAGTAAATATTGGGGATCTACCAAAAACAGTGTGAGAGGGAAAATCCTTTATAACTGGGTCAAATCCAACAGACTTTACATCCAAAATGTTGGAAATAACCCTACATGCATACGTCCTCAAGGATCCTCTATAGTTGATATAACTTTCGCCAACAGTAAGGCCTCAGCAAACATTACTGGCTGGCGAGTCATAAACGAAGAATCCTTGTCTGATCACCTGTACATCGAATTTTTTCTTCATCCGCTTACCTATAATAAACCCATAATTAAAAGCTATCCTAGATGGAACGTAAAATCTTTTAATGAAGAACGCGCTGAGGCTGCTACTCTGGCATACGCATGGGGCAACAGCTTGACTTCCTCCAACCCCTTCCAGTCCAAGATCGACTTAATAAATAAATACCTGACCGGAATTGCAAACATCTCCATGACTCGATGCCAAAGAACCTCTAGACTTCCACCTCAATCTTGGTGGTCCAATGAAATAAAAACGCTAAGAAACTCCTGCCAACAATACAGGCGGAAATGGCAAAAACTTAAAAAGAAACTTTCCAAAAATAATACTACAATAGTTAACGTCAAGAAAGCAGAAACACTATACCGTAATATTAAAAAACGTTTAAAAAATGCAATCTACCAAGCCAAAAACAAACAATGGAGGCAGGAAATAGTCAAGCTGGACGATGACCCATGGGGTAGGCCATATAGATGGGCAACCAAAAAATCTGAACAGCAACAATCAGTTCCTTTAACGGAATCAATGGATCCTACTCACCTTCGCTCCACCCTCGACCATCTATTCCCTTCTTTGCCACCCTGCAAGAAAAAAATAGGCGAATTTATATGGAAGGAGAATCTTGCTGTGACCCCTCAGGAAGTCTCAATAGCAGTAAAAAAGATGCTTGCAAAAAATTCTGCGCCAGGCATCTCTGGAGTCCCCGCGATAGTAGTAAGCACCTTCACTAACCTTAATACAACCACCCTCCCTTCCATCTTCACTGAATGCCTGAAAAAATCCATATTCCCAGATTCCTGGAAAAAAGCAAAAATAATATTACTCAGTAAACCAGGAAAACAGCTTTCTGATCCATCAGCGTACAGACCTCTGTGTTTAATCGACGAGATAAGTAAATTATTTGAAAGAGTCATTGTTCAGCGTCTTGAAGCACACTTGCTGAACGGGCACCACAATCTATCAGAATGCCAATTTGGTTTTAGAAAGGGCAAAAGTACCGTCCATGCCCTACTCAAAGTTTATAATAAAATCCTAGAAAACAGGAATAACAATAAAATTTCAATAATTATAAGTATAGATATATGCAATGCATTCAATAC